TGATTTATATTAGTAGATTTTATCATTGTTAGTGTTTATTTGTGTTTTCAATAACGTAGCAGATGAATTAACGTAAATGAGGAATCAATGAATATGTGTCTACTATGGTTTAAATAAAGACTAGATTACGTAAAAATAAAATACATATAGAAATCTCAATTGCCATTTATAAATTTAAAGCCCATTGAGTCATTTCATCAAACATTTGGCTTGCAAAGTTTATCGACAAATCTATCCCAACTTTTTTATATATTATCAACTCATACAAGCCGCCAATTCTGAAATCAGTTGATTCTCAGCAAAAAATAACCCTATTCTCAGCAAAAAATCACCTAAATAGTTTTTCTGCAAAACGCGCGAACTTTCTCATATATATATATATAAAATTTCATGTGAGTTCTCTTTCTCTAATATATATACATATATTTTATCATTTTATATGTGCCATAAATCAAAATGACTGACCACATAGAAAAGCTTTTCATGTGAGTTCTCTTTCTCGTTTTTAATCAAAATGAATGATCATTAGATTTTGTTGTTTATGAATATGAATTGGTTTCTTAAATATAGTTTTACAATTCTGAAAAATACTAGATCTAGGAGAATCAGAAAATTTAAAAATTTAAAAATTCCTAAATTTTATGATTCTCTCAAATCCAATATTTTTTTTATAACTGGGAACTTATATTAAAGAAACCAATTCATATTCAAAAACAAAATCTACATAAGAGAGAACTCACTAAATAAGGTTTCCTATCTGACCAATCATTTTGATTTACGGTGCAAATAAAATGACAAAAGATAAAACGTTATATATAGAAGTGACAAATGATATAATTAGAACCAAACGTGACAACTCAATTACCGTGACAACTCAATTACCGTTGAGATTGGTTTTATAAAAGGCGGTGACAGTGAGCACGATGGTAGTGGCTGGTAGAAGAGGATGGTGTTAAAAGTGAGCATTTGAAAACGATGTCGGTGGCAGTCCATCTTAACTTCCTCCGTTGAGTGAATCTGAGACACAAAAATAAATGAGTTAGGGAAATTCACGTATGTTGTCGGAGGAAATATGTGGAGAGTGATGTGGATGAGATTTGATGCGAAAACTTTAGGTGGAGAAAGCAAAAGCGGAGAGAATGTCGATTTGTGTGTTATTTTGTCTTTTGCCGTCATTGCCGAAGAGAAGACTGGCTTTTAAAGTACTGAGCGATAAGTAGATAAAATGCCACGTGGTCTCTCCTCAAATGCTATGTGGTGCTCTCTGGAGATAACCCTTATCCTTTCATAAAGTAGATAAGACTAGGAACGCGTATGGATTAATAATTATTTTATATATATATAACAAAATGAAAGTAAAATATTTACTGTCGATAATCGATTAAACTTAATAATAAATATAAATCACACATCTATATACACTTACACCAAAACGTTTGAACACATATTAAAGCGTAACATACAAATATGTTACTGTATAACCTATTATAAAATATATAAAAAACTACTAAAAAAATAATACTAGTAAAGATCATCTTATAATATGTATATATTATACTATTTAAAATGGATGTTTTTTTATATAAAGTCTTCGATTTGGGAGTTAAAGGCATTTTGTAGCTAACTGTGAAAACGAAAGTGCAAAAGAATACTCAAAATGTTTGTGCTTCCTTCTCGTTGATCCACTGAAAAGTTTGTACGACATTTATAGAAGAGAAAACAAAAATATAACTGGCAAAGTTCAGCGTTTTGTGTTATCACTATCACTACAACTTATATTCATAACCATTGTCTATATTCATATTCGCATGATATGTTGTTTATCGATTTTTTTAACAAAAAAATAATCTATAAATATTTAATTACAAGGGAAAATTTGCCATTAATACAACAAAAAAATTATAATTTACAAACTAACCAAAAAACCTAAATTCTAAAGCCTAGATTGTGCCACATACCTCTTTTTGGTTATCTATTAAAAAGACTCTTATTACAAAGACTCTATATATTATTTTACCTTTACTCTCAAAAAATATATATGTATAGGTAAACTGTTTATTCTGTAAAATAAAATACAGAGTATATCTGCATGAAGATGTATTCTAATATCAAGACATTCTAGATGATCAAGACTTATGCAAACCGACAAGACAAGACAGGCGGGACCCACAAGAAGACCCACTGCAGACTGTCGGCACCAATCACTGCCTTACAGCAAAAAGAGACAGATAACTCTGACTCAGCTGGACTCAAGGGAAAGACACGCGCCAATTAAAATTTGGCAAGAGAAAGTAGAAGGCAAATAAGTCAACAAAGCTAATAGTGGAGATTCATCCACATCCTTTAAAAACCTAGCTTCGGGATCAGAAGAAGGTCACGAACATTTTTGCAACCTTCTCTCTCTAAAAAATTTTCTCTCTACAAAGCTTCAAAACATTTCTCTAAGTTTTAAAATTGTAATTTTTAATAATTTACTTCAAAACTTTGTATTTACAACAAATTAAATAAAAAGCAAAAGTTTTAATCACTTAGGTTTTTCAAGCTTTATATCAAAGTTTTAAATATTTAACAGTAAAAAGAAAAGAAAGAAAAATTTACATGGTATCAGACTAAAATATCCAAAAGGTTTTCAAAACAAGATTTTCGTGAATCAAATTAAACCCTTTCTTTGAGAATCTTTATTTTTACTGAACCACAGAAGCTGAAGGTGTTCCAGGCAGCAAGCCCTGACGAAGGCCGTAAGACCGTTGGTAAGCCACAGCCGTGAAGACGTAAATAGTAAATATAGAAATCCCATTTTTCATATGGTTTGAGACATATTCAATAGCCCATAATATTAGCTATCCATTTAGATCAAGTAACACTAGTTCATCCTTACACCAAGTATGGGAATTGGTTGATGGAAGTAAAACTAAAACGATCCATCCACCTCTGAGAGACTTAAAATTAAATACCTCTAATAGAGCAATTGTAGCCACACCTTTTAAAACCGGAGCTAATAGAGAAGACAAATATCCTGTAATTATGCAAGATATTAAGGCAGTATACCAACAAAATAATTATCAAAGTCAATTCCTACACACAATATCCAAGCAAGTAG